CAAGGGCTTCCCTGGTGGCGCAGTGGTTGAGAGTCCGCCTGCCGATGCGGGGGACACGGGTTCATTGCCCCGGTCTGGGAAGATCCCACATGCCGCGGAGCAGCTGGGCCCGTGAGCCATGGCCCCTGAGCCTGCGCGTCCGGAGCCTGTGCTCCGCAGCAGGAGAGGCCACAACAGTGAGAGGCCCGCGTACCGCAAAAAAAAAAAAAATGTAAGTCAAATCGTGTGGCTGTCCCCAGTTTTAAAAGTACTCTAAGGACTTTCTAGAGTAAAATGCAAGCTCCACCAGGCCTGGCCTCTCCCTGCAGCATCCTCCCTTGGGCTCCCTCCAGCCTCCGCGCCTGCCCAGCCTGTGGCCGCCCTCGTGCTCCTCCCAGGGGGCTGCGCAGCCTGCGCCTCACCTCACCCCGGCCTCAGCACCACATCCCTCCTGAGAGAGGCCTTGCCTGTCCCCCCATCTAATGCCGCCCCTCCCCACACAGCCAGTTTCTACCACATCACTGTCATTCCTTTTTTCTCTTCATATTCATAGCACTTATTGTTTGAAACGGCTCATTTGTTCATGTAAGTACTTGCCCTTCGTCTGTCTCTCCCACCCGACTGTAAGTGCCAGGGGAGCAGGGACCGGCCCGTCAAGCCCACCACAGTGGCCCCCGGGGCAGGATGCTGCCTGGATCTGCGATTCCTGTCGAACATGTGAATGTTTTATCTGCTTCATTCCTGGCACTGATCACCTTCCAGAGGTAGTTTTAAAACAAAAGTTGAGAATAAAAAGAAACCTGGAGCTTCTCCAAAAACTTCCTGGGCAGCCTAGGAAAGGGGTTTCGAAAAAGGAATCATCTAGAGAAAGAGCTATGTGGGGGACCACTTCTCACATTTTCTGGACAAGAGAGGCTGCAGGGAGAAAATTTCCTTATATTCCCAGAGAGAACTGTCCAAACAATGGCTCCAACTGCAGTCATCTTTATTGAGCCACGGGACAATTCACAATATCTTGGCGGCTGTCCCCGAGGGCAGCTGGATGGGAAAGGAGCTGGGCTGGACGCCCTCCCCAACCCACTCCTCCTCCATCCTCATCCCTCTGGTCCTCACAGCTGCTCAGAGGCAGACAGAAGAAGAGGTCTGGCTGTCTCCTTCACAAATAGCTTCCTCTTTGGAAATGGCCTCACTCAGGCCCTGCAAGTCATCGAGCAGGACTGAAAGGGATCCTGGGAAAGAAGACCCCAAGGGACAGGAGGTGGACAAGAGAAGGCTGTCACAGTCACGCCGCAGGATGTGAGGGTTATAAGGGAGAAGGCTCCTGGTCCAAGGCAGGCGTGAATAAGAGAGTCTGTGGGCCTCCAGGGGTCACAGAGAACAAGGCTCATGCATTGCAGAGTGCCTGGAGGAGAGATGCCTGAAGTCCCCCGCCATCTGTCCCTTACCTTTGATGGACTCCTTGGTGCACAGGGCCGCTGCCGGAGGAACAGGCGCTGAAGACTCTGAGGGCCTGGGGCTGGACTCCACAGGTAACCCCTTAGCCGACGGGGAAGGAAGAACTGCCAACAGTCGCTGCTGCTTGTAACGGGAGAGGAGACCCTCTTGCTGCAAGGTGGCCTGGGAAGGAGAGGGTTAAACGCCACCAAGCCCGGGCAGAGTCCCCTCCCCTTTCCACAGCACTGCTCCCTGAGAAGAGCCCCTTCTCCGCCTCCTACCAGCATGAGGTTCTTGTCTCTCTCCAGCTCCTTCAGGCGCTGGGTCAGCCGCTGTCCCTCCTCCTTTCGGGCCTCATCCTGCAGGCGCCGCAGCTCCTGGTTCCGCTCCTTTTCTCGGGTGGCTTTGCGCTGGATCTGGCGCAGGGAGACCACTACGGGAAAGCCAGGCCACAGAGGGGACGGGTGTTGGGCAGCCTAGAGGCCATGAGGCACCGTGAAAACAAGGCTGGAAGGATGGGCAGGAAAATTGGGTCCCAGCTCTGTGACTCAGGTGAGCCACTGACATTTTGTGGCTTTCAGTCTTCCGTACAGAGGGAAGTCTGATGCTCTAGGATCCTATGAATCTGAGAACCCAAAGTACCTTCCCCATCACTGAAGCTTCCCAGAGTCCTGCAGGGGGAATCTGAATAGGGACTGGATATCAGATTTTGTGCAATTCATGTTCATTTTCTTAAAGTGTGACAATGGTATTGAGGTTACATAGGAAAATATCCTATTTGTGGGAGATGCAGCTGAACAGTCAGGATGTGTGCAACCTACTTTCAATAATTCCCCCCAAAATGTTTATATATCAATATGTGTATATATACAGATAGATAGGAAATGTGACCAAAGGTTATTAACTGCTGCCTCTAACCAGAGAAGATATATGAGCATCCATTACATGATTCTTTTAACTTGGCTAGGTGTCTGAAATTTTTCTCAAGAAAAAGTTGGGGGTAATCGTTGCTATGAGATGTCAGACTGCCTTTGCGGAGGGGGGTGACTGGGAGGGGCTGCAGGGGATCCAGGGCTGGTCAAGTGCTGTTGCTTGATCTGGGTGCTGGCTATATAGGGGTGTTTACCACCTGAGAATTCATCTTCCTTGATAACTTCATGACTCGCACACTTCAAAAAAGCTTTAAAAATAAAGTTTTTAAAATAACCTCATGCCTCAACACTTCCTTCTTCCTGAAAAGCCACGTCCACCCCAGCCAATCTCACCGGCCTTGGTGTGTTCCCTGCGAGCCTCGTTCAGTCTCCTTTCTGATTCTGAGAGCTGCTCCCGCAGTCGAGTCTCCACTTCGGCCACCTTCTCCTGCAGCGCTGGGGTGGAGGTGCACGTGGGGTGTCAGGCGAGCCTTGGTTCATGGTTCCCACCCCCGCCCCCACCACGGGTCTGCCCACGCCCCCTCCTGCACACCTTGCCCGTAGACCTCCTGCTGCTGGGTCAGCTCCTGCCGGAGACTGGCAGCCTCCGCCGTGCTCTCCTGCTGGCCCTGGCGAGCCGCCTCCAGCTGCAGCCCCAAACTGGCCAGGGACTCCTGGGTGCGCTGCAGTTCCTGTTCCAGCTGCTGGGCCACTTCGCTCAGCTTCTGCCGCTCCGCCTCCCCTGGGAAGATGTGGTGCCCGCTCAGGCTTCTCCGTACCCTAGACCCCAGCTCTTCCCTCTTCCTCTTCATCCCCCAGACTCAGACTCTGGCCCCGGCTCAAGCTCGGTGACTTGAGGACCAGGTGTACCTTGCTCCCGGGCCCGGCCCACCTCCTGCTGGATGATGTGGGCGCTCAGCTGCAGTTCTGCGTCCAGACGGTCCCGTTCCTCCCGCAGCTGCTCCAACTCCAGGCTCATATCCGTGGCCGGTGGGGGTTGGGGGCAGCTGAGACAGGGAAGGGAAACAGAGATGGGGGGAATCACCCAGCTGCCTGACCCCTAAGCCTCCATCCTTCCTCCATCCTCGCTTTTTTGGGTCCCAGCAACCAACACCTTAAAGCCCCACTCCTGCCCCTCATCCACCTCAAAGTGGCCCAAACTTCACCTCTCCTGGCGCAGCTGAGCAAGGGCCAGTTTTCGAGCCATCAGGCCTGGGGAAGAAAAGGCAGAGAGCAACAGAGAGGTGAGCTTGAGGAGAAGAGGGAAAACGGAAGATGCCCGGACTGGTAAGGAGGAGGCAGGAGGGTGGCTGTGGGATGAGAGAGCTGGTGGGGCAGCGGGAGGGGCAGGACACATCTGGCAGTTGCCCTACCCACCCCGAATGGTGTGGACCTTGCGGACGGCATAGCTGACTCGGCTGCTGAGGCCGGGCAGCCGGGCTGCGGCCCGCTTCACCTCCGCCACGGCGCCCTGGAGCCAGGTCTGAAAGCTGGAGAAGACACAAAGTCATGACCCTTCAACCCCATCTTATTTCCAAAAGGACTTGATCCCCTCTATCCTGTATTGCTATGTACGTGGGGAAAGCAGAGAAGGGGAAATCAGAGCAAGGGCAAGAGAAGCTGAAGCCAAGAGTAGGAGCCCCAACTCTGCGCCCTGCCAGTAGTGAAAGAAAACTGAGAGCTTAAGCCCCTTAGTGATTGTCAAATAAAAATGATGCAGTTGCTCATAAAAAAAGCACAGCTAGGGACTTCCCTGGAGGTCCAGTGGTTAAGTCTCCGTACCTCCACTGCGGGGGTGTGGGTTTGATCCCTGGTCAGGGAACTAAGATCCCGCATGCTGTGTGGCCCAGACAAAAAAAAAAAAGGCGCAGCTATTTCTGATCCCAAAACCTACATAAGCTTCTCATTTGCGTCCTTGCAATCAGTGTCTTTAAAAACAACCCTACGGTAAAAACAATAATCAGGTTCATGGGGTCACACCTTATCTGGACTCAGATGCCATCACAAAGTAAAGGGTTCAGTAACATTGATTCTATGGGGGCTAAAACAAGTGCCCTAAAGCAGGCTTATCTCTAGCTGATTCAGACTTTTGCACCTCAGGCCTCCAGGTGCGTCTCCAGGTTTGGGGAGTCTCCTGCCGCCATATGCCACATCTGGGGTGTATGAACTTATGTGCATTCTTCTATGGAACAAAGCCCATAGTTTCCATCAGTTTGCCCCAAGAAGGCATTAAATGATTGTACATCTTTTCAAGTAATGTGCTAAGCTTATTTCTCACGATCTGCTTTTTGATCACTATTATGTATCAGAGATCAAAGTTATCCTCTCTAACGAGTCCCTGATACCAACAAAGGCCGGGTCCACATGCTTTATCAGCTAGCTGTGCCCAAAGCAGGATCAACGTGGCTCATGGAAGTTGAGAAGTCTAAGGCTGAAGGCTGTATCCCTAGCAGCACAGCAGAGATCACTTTTATCTGAAAACTGTTTGAGCGGGTGCTTCCAACACATACTGTGGCTCTTATGAAAGCCTTTTCCTGACAGGATCTCCAAGCCACCAAGAGACTAACAAACCTGGCAACAATCCGAGCTTGGGTTGGTTTTAGGCCACGTGGACTTTTTGGCAATAAATCATCAGCAAGGACCATTTCCATAATGTCCTGGTATCAAAGTAAAACCCTGTCCACACTGTATCTTTCTGTCTTCCTGGAGGTAGGAGGCACATGCAATGGATTGAATCTGGGCAGTAGTTCATCATAACTAGTCTCTCTAATGCCACGCACGCTTGAAATTTTTCACGAAATTTTTTTTGGTTAAATTAGTCCTCAAGGTACAAATCCAACAGAAAGGGATGGTAGGCAAGGACCCACCCTGCATCACAATTTTTCTAAGCCAAAACTGTTATGTGATCCATCTAGAAGAGCCTTATGGTAAAAGTGAACATTTACAGAATGCAGACAATAAGCCAGGCACTGTGCTGAGAGCTCTCCTCAGACCGCCTCCGTGTCCCCACGTCCAAAGCCGAGGAGGGATTGTTACCTGTGCAAAGAAACCTGTGCTTCTCCTTAGAGGTCTTTCTAAAGGTTATCTAACAATAGCTGTGAAGGAAACACCTAGGAAGTTGGTATAAGAGACAGGCTTGCAATTGATTAAAAAGGAAACTGGCAGGGAGGGAGAATGGTAAGCTGGGATGAAGTGAGAGAGTGGCATGGACATATATACACTACCAAATGTAAAATAGATAGCTAGTGGGAAGCAGCTGCATAGCACAGCGAGATAAGCTTCGTGCTCTGTGACCACCTAGAGGGGTGGGATAGGAAGGGTGGGAGGGAGACGCAAGAGGGAAGAGATATGGGGATATATGTATACGTATAGCTGATTCACTGTGTTATACAGCAGAAACTAACACACCATTGTAAAGCAATTACACTCCAAAAAAGATGTTAAAAAAATAAACAAATAAATAAAGGGGGGCAAGGAAACTGCAATAAAGCGAGTCTCATGAATTTTCTGGGTTCCCAGTGCATATAAAAGTTACGTTTATGCTATACTGTAGTCCATTAAGTGTGCAATAGCATTGCGTCTGAAAAAACAACTAAACATTTAAAAATAGAATTAATTTTAAAACAATGCTGTTGGAAAAAAAAATGGCACCAGTAGACTTGCTCGACACAGAGTTGCCACAAACCTTCGATTTGTAGCAGCATCTGTGAAGTTAATAAAGCAAAGTACAATAAAAAGAAGTATACCTGTGGGTGTTCAGCTTTAAAAAAAATAGACTAAATTTTTTCCAACTCAACAGGGCATGCCTGCAAAATTTGAAAGAAAGAGAGAGAGAGGGAGGGAGGGAGGGAGAGAGGGAGAAAAAGAGAAAGAGAGAGAGAAAGAAAGAAAGAAAGAAAGAAAAGAAAGAAAGAAAGGAAGGAAGGAAGGAAGGAAGGAAGGAAGGAAGAAAGAAAGAGAAAGAGAGAAAGGAGAGAAGGAAGAAAGATCAAGTGTCCACATTCCCCATCCTCGCACAGTTCTGAAGGTGGAGACCCTCCTAGGTGCTCTATTTAGCTCAAGCTGTTACTAACTGCAAGAGGAAGTCAGTAATACCTCATCTCCAGCCAAACACGCAGTGGGTGGGAGTCATAAGTGACCCTGCTGTGAATATGGAGGGGGGTTGCCCCAGGAAAAAACAAACACAAAGATTTTACAGGGCTACATACCTCCAGCCCTGCATCCTCCACACGGCCAGCTTTCTAGCCCCTCTTGCCTGAGGTTCTTAAACTCCAAGATGCCCAGGAAGCTGTCGAAGCAGAAATGCTACTCCACCCACCCTGCATCCCAGATACCTGCTGACAGCGTTGGCCACAAGCTTCAGCTGCTCTTCCGCTGTGGCTGTCTGCTGCTGCTCCCGGCGCCGGGCCTCCTGAGTGCGGCTCAGCTCCGTCTGCAGGGCCTAGGAAGGATACGGTAAAGAAAATGGTCCCCTCAGGACTTCCCTGGCGGTCCAGTGGTTAAGACTGCTCGCTTCCACTGCAGGGGGCATGGGTTTGATCCCTGGTTCAGGGAACTAAGATCCCACATGCCACGTGGTACAGCCAAAACAAACCAAAAGTGTCCCCCTCCCTGGGGTTTCCCTGCCCTCCCTCAGCCTCTGCCCGTCTCAGACACTGACCTTGGCACCCATCCGCTCTACCTCCACCTCTGCAGCTTTGTCCTGCAGGGAGCGCTGCAGGATGGCCTGCTCCTGGCACTGAGTTTTGACTCCTTCCTGGAGCTCGGCCACCTGGGGGAGGAGAGGAAGCAGGTCTAGAGCCAAAGCTGTAGGGGAGGCGCTGGGAAGGAAGGGGCAGGTGCAGGGGCAGGGGTCTCTGAAAGAAGGCCACACATGGAGACAGTAAGCCCGGGTTCCTAAGAATGGAGTCTGGGTCCAGGTTTCCTTCCAGAGGCATGTTCCCCATGCCCACACCTTAAGGAACTACCCTGTGACCAACCCACCAGGACCCGTGGCCAGCCTCTGCCCGTGGCACCCACCCATCCTTGGACACTGTCACCTTCTGGGGGAGGCCGGCCCACCTCACAAAATGTAAGCCTCATGAGAGCAGGTCCTTGTCAGCCTTTGCTCAGGGCTGTGCTGCCAGCATGTGGGAACCACCCAAGTATTTGGTGAATAAATGCCACCCCTCCTGTAAGGAGCAGAGAGCTAGGGGAGAGCATGGGGAGAAAGAGGGCGCCAGGCGACCTGTCCCTTCAGCTGCCCCACACAGTCTCTGTGCTCCAGCTCCTGGGCCTTCAGCTGCACCATGAGGGCAAACACCTTCTCCCGCCAGCGCTTCAGCAGGGACTGGCACTTCTTGGTGAACTCGGGCTCCAGGCAGTCTGAAGGCTGAACCTGAGGGTGGAGGAGGTGGGGAGAGTGTGGGCTCCTGGGGGAGCAGAGGAAGGAAGGAGGTGGGTTTTATTTCTTCTGTCCTGCCCAGGCATCAGGAGCCAGAGCAAGAAGAGGCATTCAGGGGAAGAAAGACGCGGGCAGGTTCTAGGAGCAGCACCCCAACCCCTCCCACGCACAGGGGGCACCCGGGGGCGAGGGGCCTACCCTCCGGACCAGCTCCTCCTCCTGCATGCAGAGGATGTGCGTGAGGCTCTGCACGCGCACCTGCAGCAGCTCCGTGGTGGTGTGCAGGCCGGCCCGGTCCTCCCGCAGGTGCTTAGGGCCGGGGCAGGGGAGAGAGAGAGGACAGCCACCTCTTGCCGGGTCTCCCAGTGGCCCTCGGGCGGCGGCCAGTCTGTGTGCCCCTTGACAGCACTGCCTTCTCTCCCGGGGACTGTGCTCTTCTCCAGGGCCCCCTCGCACAGGACCTGAGCCCTCAAGTCCCACCCCATGCCCAGCACTCTCTCACCTGCACGGTTTCTAGAAGCTCCTGTCGCTCTGATTCCCACATCTGACTGTGGACCTCGGGAGGGACCTGCTCTCCCACGTACCTCCTTAGGTTCTCAACCAAGGTCACCTGAGCCTCCAGATCCTCTTGGGTCTTGCTAGGGTTGGGGTGGGAGCAGGGTAGCCATCGGGGGGCACCCTGGAGACCCAGCCCACCCACCAACCCACCGAATGCCAGACCAACTGCCCTTCGGTCGCCCACCTGCCCACTCACCTCAGCTGCTTCCGCAGCAGCTCGGCCTCCCTCTGGGCCGCAGCCAGCTCTTCAGCTTCTCCTGACCTCCTGGTTTCCAGACTACTCAGAGACTTCTCCAGGCCCCCAGCTTTGCTAGTCAAACTGGAAAGAGCCTCCCGGTGAGCCTGTGTCAGGGAGGAGAGCTGTGGAGAGAAGGGAGGGCTCAGCAGGGGCCAGCTCGCCCACACCTGGACTTTCCAAATCTGCCTTCTGCTTTGGCCCTGCCCTTCACTCCCACTTTCTGTGACCTTGGACAAGCACCCAAGAAATCACCCAACTGTGCACAGCAAAACGGAGACCATCCTTGGCGCCTCACTCCCCATCACCCTCCAACCCACCAGCAGTTCCTGTCAGGCCGCCCACCAAAACATTGTCACTTCTCTCCACATCCAGTGCCACCAACCTGAGGTAACCCACCCTCATCTCTGGCCTGGACAATGGCAACCATCTCCTGACCGGCCTTAGAAGCCTCCAGTGGCTTACCACAGCGTTCAGACCGGCTTCTTCCCTGGGCCTGTGAAACCTGTCGTGTCTTGGCCTCTGCCTGCTTCTCTGAGCTCTGTCCTGTTTCTCCCACTGCCCGCTCTGCTCCAGCCACAGTGCTCTCCCCCTGTCCCCCCAACAAGTCTGCTCTTTCCCACCTCAGAATCTACCTGGAGGCTTGGCTTCCCCCAGCTCCTCATATCTCAGTGATGCCACCTCGTGGGGAAGGCCTCTCCGGACCGCTAATCCCTACCCAGCACCTGCGCTGTCCTATGACCTGTTTGTGCCCTTCCTGCACTTCTTATCATTATGAAATGATCCTGCTCCTGCACGTGCTTACTGTCTGCTTCCCCCCATCCAGAAGGAAGCCCTAGGAAGGCAGGGAGCTTGTCCTTTTCTCACAGCACCACCAACAGTGGTTAAGGGTGTCAGATACGCTGAAAGAGTCACGGTTCGGCCGGTGAAGGAGGGTAAGTGGCTGCCCTCACTTCCGGTCTGCCCGCTTCTAGCCCTATCTCTATACCATAGTCACTGTGAGCTTTTTGGACACGAATCACAAAACTGGTCCTTTTACACATAAAATATAAATCTGATCATGTCATTTCCCTGTTAAAACCTTTCAAGCGGTTACCCATTGCTCTTAAGGTAAAGTATAAAGTTGAACAGGCCCAAGGCCTCACACTCCACCCCAACACCCAGAGCCCCTCTCATCGCCTGCACTCGGGCCCCTCTGGCCTCCTCCCGTTTACATCTACTTGCAGCCAAGTGTCACACCAGCCCCCATCACCTCCCCACATGCCTGCCCTCCAGCCAACTCCTATTTTTTTATTTTATTTATTTATTTATTTATTTATTTATTTATTTATTTATAGCTGCATTGGGTCTTCATTGCCATGTACGGGCCCCCTCCAGCTGCGGCCAGCGGGGGCCACTCCTCGCCACCGCACACGGGCCTCTCATTGCGGGGGCCCCTCCCACTGCAGAGCATAGGCTCTAGGCACGTGAGCCTCAGCAGTTGTGGCTCACGGGCTCCAGAGCGCAGGCTCAGTAGCTGTGGCGCACGGGCCCAGCTGCTCCACGGCATGTGGGATCCTCCCAGACCAGGGCTCGAACCCATGTCCCCTGCACTGGCAGACGGACTCCCAACCACTGTGGCACCGCCAATTCCTATGTAACATAAATGTCAACTTCTTATCATTAAGCATCTTTCATGAAACTAAAGGCTTTTTATATTTTTCTTTGAATGATCTCCTCTGTCCATTTTCTGCCTGGACTGCTGTCTTTCTCTTCTTGATTTCTAGGCACACGTTATATAGTAGGGATATTAGCTTTTTCTTGTGATATGACCTGGAAATATTCTCCTATAGTTTATCACTTACCCTTTAATTTTACTTTTATTTTGTCATCCCTAAGTTTGGTATTATAAAGTCAATATATCAATCTTTTCTCTAATGGCTCTGGATTTTGATTCACAGGTAGAAAGGTTTCCCCATTCCCAGGTTATAAAGGAATTCACCCATATTTTCTTCCAATATCTTTATGGTTTCGTTTCCTAACACGTCGACTGGTTAGGGTGGCCTTCCCAACCCCCAGACCAGCCAGGGCTCCTTTGTCCTTCTCCTTCATGGCTCTTTTCCCAACTGCAATTAATTAATTAGAATTAAATTACGCACTGAATGTGTGTATCGCCCACTAGGCTGTCAGCTCCACCCACAAGGGCAGAGAGTTGGCTGATTTGCTCACCCCAGTGTCCCGGCTCTTGTCTCAGGGATGGCGAAGAGTAAGCACGGATAAATGCTTGCTGACTGCATAGTCGCCCCTTCCCAGTCCACCTTAGGACCCCACTCCCACCTCCCTCACTCTCCCTCCCACAGTGTTCCCAGACGAACTGGGGACCTGGAGTAAAGCAGAAACACAAACTACTTCCTACTGGAAGAGGAAGGAGGGCTTCAAGTGGTGGGAGGTCTCCTGAGTCCTGGCGGAAAAGGGCAAGCTGAATAAGACCAACACATCCAAGTTCTCCCTCTTTCCAGGTCATCTGTTTCTTTCACCTTCAGCAAACATCTCATCACCCTTTTCTGCAATGCCTGCTCTTTGCTGGGGAGCTCCTGCCCAGCTCACCACTGTGCAGCTGAACCCTTACCAGGCCCACATTCACCTGCTCTTGGTGCAGCCTCCGAACGTCCTCCAGCTCCCGCTGGCTCTCTTCTTCCAGCTTCTTCCGGACAACCTCGGCCCCGGCCAGGGCAGCACGCAGGCCCTCAGCCTCAGCGCGGCCAGCCTTCTCTGCCCGTGCCAGTGCCTCTAGCTCCGTGGCCTGGGCCTCCAGCCTCATCTTCTGCTGCAGCGAGGTCTCCCGCAGCACCCGGACCTCCTCCTCGAGCCGCCGCAGCTCTCGCAGCTGCCGAGAGATCAGCTCAGCCTGCTGGCTCAGGGCCTGCGACCCCGCCAGCTCCACGGACCTTCAAAGACAGGTTAGCACAGGTGAGACCTGTCTCTGGTGCTGGGAGGGTGGCCAAGGCATAAAATGGAGACAGGAGAAGGAGAGGATCCCTCTGCTCCCATATGGGGAGATGGCAGGGGATGAAGCTGGGCCATGGGGATCTCTGCATTTCCATCACCATCATCATTGACAACAGCCCTACTAAGCATATCTGGGCCCACAGGACCTAAAGGCTAGCTGAGTTCATGGAACATGACCTCTCTTGAGGACAATATACAGGCAGATGTGTTAAACATCAGATGTGCACATCGTTAGGCCACACGTTTTGAACTGGAGAAGCTGGAAGGACACTCAGAGATTTCTGAATTCTGATTTAAGGGCAAGGAAAAGTTTGATGGAGGTGGAAAGAGAGGTCATGGCAACGAGTATCAATATGGTGAGTCCAGGCACTAGTTAAAATCATTTATTGAGTGTTAGGTACACCACATGAGAAGTCTGAGAGTGCAGCACCTCAATAAATTACATAATCCCAACCGTTGGAGAGCACAGTCTACTGGAGTCACATAAAGTTGAAACCAGCTTATAACATGGCTCTTGACACAGTTCCCTCACTGAGGCCCAGAACCACAGCATTTTCTTTTTTTTAATTTTAATTTTTTTTGGCCGCACCATGCAGCTTGCAGGATCTTAGCTCCCTGACCAGGGACTGAACCTGTGCCCTTGGTGGTGAAAGCAGAGTCCTAACCACTGGACCGCCAGGGAATTCCCCAACACCTTTTTTAAGTGGCAGAGATCTGTAGCCTAGAGAAATGAGGTGACTGGCCAAAGGACCCCTAGCTGGTAGCCAAATTAGTCACAAAGAGTCTCTGTCTCCTGACACTCACTCCAATGCTCCCCTTTCATCATTATGCTCCTTTCCCCTTGATGGGGTCCAAGGTAGACTCACATGCAATCCACTCAAGAACAAAATGGCAGGATGATGTTCCAGTACATTTGGGAAAAGACACACATGAAACAACAAGAATAAGAATTTTCACAGACAACAAATTGACAGATGGCACGGTCAGCTCCGTCAGAATGAATCTACTATCACAGCACGCGGTCTGTACTCCCAGCCCGTACTTCTTCAGCCTGCCTTACACCACACTTAATACAATCAGCTGTGGGTCAGCCTATCTCTTCCCTTAGGATTTAAAATTCTTCAATAGGGGCTTCCCTAGTGGCACGGTGGTTAAGAATCTGCCTGCTAAGGCAGGGGACACGGGTTCGAGCCCTGCTCCAGGAAGATCCCACGTGCCACGGAGCAACTAAGCCCATGTGCCACAACTACTGAGCATGCGCTCTAGAGCCCACGAGCCACAACTACTGAGCCCGCGCACCCACAGCCCGTGCTCCGCAAGAGAAGCCACTGCAATGAGAAGCCCACACACTGCAACTAGAGAAAGCCTGTGCGCAACAACAAAGGCCAACACAGCCAAAAACAAAATAAATAAATAGATAAATTCATTTAAAAAATTATCAAAAATAAAATTCCTTGATATCAGGATCTCTCTTATTCATTTTTGTTATCCTTGTCCCTAGCATCTAGCACACTGCTATTATTTATGCATTGTAGGCAACAACAACTGCTTATATAAAAATGAATAAATTGTGGAACTAAGGGCTGAAATAGGGTAAGGAATCTATTTCAGGGAAGAAGGGCCACTGGCAAGCAAGCCCAAGAAAACAGCAACATTAGATCTGTACCTGCCTCTCCACCCTGGCTCCTGCCCTTTGCCAGAAACTTCCTGTCCCCACATGGTCACTTGAGGTCTCTGGTTATCTGGCCGCCTCTCTAAGACATCTTGATGGGCTGGGGGCTGAACCAGGGGAATGTCTGAGACCCACGTGGGAGCCATTCTTGGCAGAGTTGGAAGGGGCCGAACTTGGAAGTGGGATGGGGGAATCAGCCCAGTGGAACCTGAAGAATCATAAGGACAAAGATGGTCAGTTTCCCAGGGAGACATAATCACCAGCCCCCTTGCCAGGTCCCACTGACCTGAAGGTCGAAACATTTCCACATTATTTGAAGTCTCTAGAGTCTGTGTCCAGCCATCTATGCTTCCCTGGACAATAGGAGAAACAAGGACACTCCAATTCAATTTTCAGGCCACCTTCCAAAGAGAGAGCCCCTACAATAACAAAGTCACAATCCTTAAATAACAGCCAGGTCCATCTGACTCTTAGCTCCTCTTATCCTACTTCCCAAAAGAAGTAGGAAATACCCGAAGATCACTTGCTTGTCTCAATCTGGTTCCTGATAGGACTGTGGCAACAGCCATGAGATGGAGAGAATTTACTGAGACAGGCTGAGAGAGGCTCTGGTTTTACTCATACTTTTAGAATTCTGGGCAGTGCCTTTACCGTCCTCCTTAAGTTTCTACAGTCTCTGCCTTCCCTGGATGGAGGTGAGAAAGGACGTATGCAGTACAGAGGCTGTGAGCCCAATCTCCAGAGTTCTCTCCATGGCTCACCAAGGCCTTGGGGAAGCCCATCCAGACACCACCAAGCCATGACTCCTGGGTCCTTCCCTATCAAAGCGCTGGCCCAGTGCCTGGCCCCTGATGAATGTGGCCACATGTAGGGCAGGACGCCTACCCAGGACCCCCGGGGAATCCAGGCGGCCTAGACCCCTTGTTAGAAAAGCCAGCTTCCTGACGTCGCATCCAAACCCTTCCAGCAACCTTCCTCTCAGTTTCTATTGCCCCCTCAGCTTCCATCCCTGTCGCCCACCCACCTCTCCAGAGTCCTAGAGCAGACAGAGGGGTCTTTAAGATCTCCCCACCCTGCCACCCGAACTCATCTATTTTTCCCCCAATCTGGGATTCCTATCCCTCCCTACATCCTAATTTGCTTTTATCCTGAAGCAATTATTCTGGCCCCTCACTCTCTCATCTCCCAATAGCCTCCTCTCCCTCCCTCCTCTCCCCCATATATGAGTCTTCGCCCTGCTGGACGCTGAGCTCTAAGGCTGTTCGGACCACCTCATTTGTTCCTTTACCCTGCCCTTGCACCCCTCCACCCTATGGATCCCTGAACCCACCCCTGTACCCACTCTCAGCCCCTTCCCGCCCCCAACCGACTCTTCCCGAATGCCCCTTACCCGGCGCGAGAGACCCCCCTCAGCCCTTTGGCCACACCCCCTATACCTAGCTCCCGGGCGAGGCCTCGGCCCCCGACAGCGCCTGCGCAAAGCGGGCAGGTTGGCGGGACGCTCTAAAGCCTACAAGGCTACCACCCCGGAAGGAGGAGAAGAGGTGCACGCAGACGCAGTAGTGTCTAAAGCCTGGCCCAATTAAGGCGTTGGGGGCACCTCCGAGCCCTGGCAGCTCCGCCCAACTCCGGGAACCCGGGAAATCCTGTGAACTAATCAGAAAAAGAGGAAGGCGGGAGATCGGGGACCCTCCCAGCTCGTCGCCCAATGGAAAGGAGGAGGGCAAACGAAATGGCCAATCAGGAACGGCACGGGGGGCGGGCTCGCTCGGCGGGAGGTTCGGACCCGGGAATTCCGAAGGCGGGGTCGGCGCTGCCCGCGCGCGGAGGCCGCGCCCCTCCTGGCCCTGGTTTCCTCGCTGTCAAACAGCCGCAGGAGCACCAACCCCGGCCGAGCTGGCACTGCCTGGAGAGGGGACCATTCCGAGACTGCACCGCGCGGTAGATAAGAACCTGGGCTGGGGCGGGGAGGGAAAAGGCTGGGTTTGCCTTGCATCATCCCGGGAACCCTTTCTTCTTTTTTTATCCCACCGGAGAAGTCGGTAAGCAAGGGTTTAGATCCACTTTACTGGAGAACGTTAGAGACCCGTTTGCACTGCCTTTTGAGGGGTGACAGTGGATACACTTCCCACTGGGGTTCAAGCCAACTAGTTATGAGGGATTGGCCAGAAGAGTGAGGCGTGGGCTAGCAGGAGGGTTACTCTATTTGGATCAGCAGGTTTTACAGGAAGAAGTTTCTCTTCTCCAAATTACACTGAGGTGACAAGTTAATATCACACAGAAGCAGCCCCTACCCTCACCCCCAAACCTACAGTTCGAATTTCCCTAGAAGCTGCCTAATGTATTGTTACCTTGCACAGATTGAAGGCTCCTGGGATACTTAGCAGCCTGAGGATTCGATTCAGCTTCGTGCCACAAGACGCCTTCATTTTTGCACTACCTGGGACCTTCACCAAATTTTTCAGTTGCAAAGCTCTTGACAGCCAATTTTGCATCGCGTCCTAGGCTCCTTGCACTCTGAATTTGCCCTACTCAGGGAGTGTGCTCAAAGTTGAAATTGCACAAAGGACAGCTCAAGTTTGCATCAGACGGAAAGTGAACTTAGGCCAGATGTGCATGGCCCAGGGAGTGGGAAAGGTGATGGATTCCTAAAGTGGAAGAGGTGGTTTGGGGGGGGCACCGCCCATGCTGCCTTGCTTCCAGCTGCTGCGCATAGGGGGCGGCAAGGGTGGCGATCTCTACACCTTCCACCCCCCAAGTGGGGCTGGCTGCACCTACCGTTTGGGCTGCAGGGCCGATCTCTGTGATGTGGCCCTGCGGCCCCAGCAGGAGCCCGGCTTCATCTCTGGAGTCCATGCAGAGCTGCACGCTGAACGCCGGGGTGACAACTGGAGGGTCAGCCTGGAGAACCATAGCAGCCAAGGTGAGGAGTGAGCAGAGCAGCCTTATGCCTGGGCAGTTGCAGTTCTGGGCTGGAATGACCGAGTCTCCACAGGGACTCTGCCGGCCTCCCAAACTCGCCATCAGGTTGGATGGATGGTTGTCATCCAGACCTGTCTTCCCACCAGAAATGTGCAGTGTCAGATCTTTGTGGGGCTGACCCTGTTTAGCTCTTAGAGGGGCTGGGAGGTAGATCCAGGGCCTGCAGTATCAGTGGGGTTGTTCTGGGGCCCCTGGGGACAAGCTCAGACTTGAGTAAGTTTCCAGATTTGTTTAGGTACCTTGTCCTTGGCTTAGGGCAGTTATATGTTGAATTATGTCTTAATGATCTGGACATGTGTCTTACTCCCTGACTTGGAGTCAGTTAAGTCAGCCTCAGAAGGCCTGGGTTCCCATCTCAGTTCTGCTACTGGCACCTGGCAGTATCACTCAGGCCTGTCACTTCACCTTTTTAGATCTTAATTTCCTCTTAGGTAGAATGTAAATCTTTGTGAGGTCTGTTTTTGGGGAGTGCTGTGGGGATTGGATATAGTGGCCAACTTTCATTTAGTGCTTACTATTATGAGACAAGAACATTTTAAGGGCATTAAATGTAGGTGAGCACAAATACCCCACTTTACAGACAAGGAAAATGAGGCATAAAGAAGCTAACTTGTCCAGGGTCACATGGCTGGTAAGTGGTGGAGCTTGGATTTGAACCCAGACAATCTGAGCTATGCTGATTAGTACTGAGCTGGAACTGAGTGAAAGTGGGCATCTCTTGAGAATTAGACCTCAGTGAATTGAGGGAAGGAGTTCATTCCCTCCATGTGCCCTGGGGGAGGGCATAAGAAAAATAAACTCATTCCCAACTCACAAGGAGTTTCATATCTGATGTCACCTGCTGAGAGATTTAAAATGTGAGAATTTGATGACAGGTGTCGTATTCTTCCTCATGTTCCCCAGAAAACCAGACAGGACCAGATTTCTCCACTTCTGACCTGTCATTTGTTTTTGTCGTTCTCTGTATTTGTCTGGTGCCCCACAATCAACAGGGACTTTGGTCAATAATGTCCGACTCCCAAGGGGTCACAGGCTGGAGTTGAGTGATGGTGACCTTCTGACCTTTGGCCCTGAAGGGACCCCAGAAACCAGCCCCTCAGAGTTCTACCTGTTTCAGCAAGTCCGAGTCAAACCTCAAGATTTTGCTGCCATTACTACCCCACGGTCTAGGGGAGAAGAGGGAACCGGGGTTGGTTTCCGGCCCATGCTGCCCTCCCAGGGGGCTCCACAGCGCCCCCTCAGCACCCTCTCCCCTGCCCCCAAAGCCACGCTGATCCTCAACTCCATTGGCAGCCTCAGCAAGCTCCACTCCCAGCCCCTCACCTTCTCACGGAGTGGGGGTGGGCCACAGAGCCTGCCTGTTCCCACTCCAGCTGGGGAAGTGGGGACAACCCCTTCTGTCCCACCCCCAAGAAACCGGAGGAAATCAGCTCACCGCGTGTTGGCAGAACTGGATGATGAGAGAGAGGCTCCCAAGAGCCCCCCACCAGTCCTTACGGAGCCCAGGAAGAAACTCCGTGTAGAGAAAACCCCACTGACACCCAGTGGGTAAGTGGAGAGAACTTTGTCTCGTTATTTCACTGCCTTTTGATTCTTTTAGAGCCCTAGGCTGGGAGGTAGCTCTCTGCTTGGGGGATGGGGATGGGAGATGGAACAGAGATTGGAATAACAAGACCTGGGCTAGTTCTTCTAACCAGATTCACCTTTAGTCTAGTGAATCTATATAGGTTCACTCTGCAGTTATCCAGGGGAAAGTTCTAGGCTTCTGCAGGTTTCCAGTGACCCTGGTTTTTGTGTCACTTTCTTCAGAAATCGACGTGGGCGTCCTCGGAAACACCCAGTGAGCAACCCCAGGGCTCCCCCTGCAGTTGGGGGCGGGGAGCACTGTGCAGCCCCTTGTTGCTGCCTACCCCAAGAAGAGACAGTAGCCTGGGTTCAGTGTGATGGTTGTGACATCTGGTTCCATGTGGCCTGTGTTGGTTCAGCATCCAGGGCTGCCAGGGAGGCCGACTTCCAGTGCCCAGGCTGTCGGGTAGGCATCCAGACCTAAGGCCCACCACCAAAGCACCAGAGGACAGAGCTGGCACCTCCAGGACACGGGTGGACAGTGGGGTGCCAATGGGTCCTAAGAGATGCCCTCTTCTTCCCTTGCCTCTCTAGGAGGGACCCTGGTTTTTGTGTCACTTTCTTCAGAAATCGACGTGGGCGTCCTCGGAAACACCCAGTGAGCAACCCCAGGGCTCCCCCTGCAGTTGGGGGCGGGGAGCACTGTGCAGCCCCTTGTTGCTGCCTACCCCAAGAAGAGACAGTAGCCTGGGTTCAGTGTGATGGTTGTGACATCTGGTTCCATGTGGCCTGTGTTGGTTGCAGCATCCAGGCTGCCAGGGAGGCCGACTTCCAGTGCCCAGGCTGTCGTGTAGGCATCCAGACCTAAGGCCCACCACCAAAGCACCAGAGGACAGAGCTGGCACCTCCAGGACACGGGTGGACAGTGGGGTGCCAATGGGTCCTAAGAGATGCCCTCTTCTTCCCTTGCCTCTCTAGGAGGGAATAACTACAGGGGAAGGGTCCATTCCTATGGATTATCAATTCAAGGCCTGGAGCAGGCCCTCATGGCCAAGGTAACAGAAGAGATGGCTTCCTGCCAAAGATATTGCTGCCTCCAGGAAGTTGCCAGTGAGCTGGAAAAACCCGCTTGTCACAAGCTGTAGGTCCTTGTTGTCATGGACACTAGAATGTCTGGTCAGGAGCACCCATCAACTGCAGAGGTCATGCCTGGGAAGTTATAAGCCCCAGACTTGAACAAGCAATTTCTAAATGTTCTTGATGGCATCGCCTAAGGCATCTCTGGGAAAACCTAGGGCACAGCCCCCAAACTCCCTTACATTGTGGGCAGTCCTGCCGCTGATCACCATGATTGTGACCTGACTTTTCAGAGCTTTGCTTCCATTTCCAAATAAAGAATGAGCAGCTTCATATACTCCAAGGTACTTACTCTTTGTGGGTCTGATACTCCTTGCTTTCCAATTCTTGAGAATGGAGTGGTAACGTCTGGAAAACTAATTCAGATTCTTAGGGGAGGAGATGAGCAGACAAGGCAGAGAAATACAAACCTGCTCGCTGAAAAGGTACAAATATGAGGTAAAAGCTGGAGGTGGAAAGACAGGAAAAAAGGAATCCAGGTAATTACAGTTTCTAGTTTAAAAGAAAACAGATCCGGGACTTCCCTGGTGGTCCAGTGGGTAAGACTCTGAGCTCCCAATGCGGGGCGGCCCGGGTTCAATCTCTGGTTGGGGAACTACATCCTGCATACATGCCGCAACTAAGAGCCCACATGCGCCACAACTAATAGATCCCACGTGCCGCAACTAAGACCTGGAACAGCCAAAATAAATATTTATCAAACAACAGATCTACTGCCATTAAAGTAAGGTACTTGGGATTTGGTCAAGTTCATGAGGGTGGCAGAACTTTTACAAGGTTCACCAGTACTACCAAGAAGAGAAAACCTGAGACACCAGCTACAACAGATGGCGACCTGGTCCAGTGTATCAACGTAACCCACGTATGCTACACTGATTCTCTTCTGAGAGTCGTATGCCAAGCCAAGATGCTGTCAAAGCAGCATCTGTAGTTCTGTAGTTCTTATTAGGAAAGCCCTATCTTGACCTATCCTATTGTACCTGCATATCCATCCCCTTCCTCCTCTACTTAGACTTACCAATCCAAGTTTCCTACACATTGAGGAAAGGCTCCAGAGCAAGGGCCCTAATTAGGAAGTGGCAGAGGCAGAACTAAAATGTGGGAGTTTTGGTGAGTCACAGACAGGGTAGGCAAAAACCTTAAGTGGAAACCAAATGGACCCAGGTATCAAGAAAGCACAAAGTAGAGTTTCCGGTTGGGGTGATATGCAGAACAAATGAGTACCTAAAAGACTTGATTTCTTAGCACAAAGCCACTGAGGACTTTCAGAGTAGAGTGGGGAAAAGCAAAAAGCCAGCTCCTAATAGGGAATGGGCTATGTAATAACTGCATCTTTGGGCAAAAATAAGGTGTTCACCTCCAATTTCCCCAGGTCACAGGCTCCTAAGAACTAGCTCACACCTATAAGAGCCCTCTACGAATAAACTTGGGATCCAATCCCAGATCTCCCTCTGACATTGTGACTCTGGGCAGTTTAAATGGCATCCTTGGTCTCAGGGTCATTTGGGTGGGAGAGCTATTAATATCCACTATTAACTATCCCTATCCACTCTTCAGTAACTAGAGGAGAATAAACCAAAGACAAAAGTATCCACCTACTAGGTCCCAGGCTTCTTTATTTAAGAACAAAGTGATGAGTGATGTGGGGATTAAAATCAAGAGCATCATTGAACTTCACCTTCCCTCCAACCAGTTCCCCCAAACTCCCTGCCCCCACACCCTTTGTGTTCCCAATTCCTTTCTTAGTGAATGAAGAACTTAATCCCAAAGCCCTGGTACAAACCCCAGGGTTCTCTCCCTAGCTGTCCCCCTTCCTCTGCCCCCATTCCTGGGAAGGGCAGACACCTCAGTTTGAATGCATGGGGGAGCCCAGAGTGGTGACAGACACTGAGGGAAAGGCCTCACCCTCAGGAAATGGGACTGAGGAGTACAGCGTAGTGAAATGAGGACCCCCATAGCCTGGGGTGCCAAAATGGGGCCCTGGAGCCAGAGGAAAGGATACTGGTCCCCCTGAGAAAGGAGACCCAGCAGCCTCAAAATCCTCTCGTTGCGAACAGTCACTGCTTGATCGTTTGCCCTTCTGGCGACGGTTGCAGAACCACACTCGGACCACCTGGGAGTGGAAGACAGGGGAGAGGGACATTCGATCATAAGCTAGGGGAGGTGTGACTGGGAAGGAGATGGAGCACACAGGGATGCAGACAGCGGCACTCACATCCTTCTCAAGCCCGAGCTGCTGAGCGATGTGGCTGATCTGCTGCAGGGTGGGCTTTGGGCACTGCAGGAACATGCTCTCCAGGTTGCCTCTCACTCTGTTCTCAATACTCGTCCGCTTTCTCTTCCGGGCCTGCACGAGTGTCTCTGCCTTGCATATCTGGGCAGGTGGGGAGGAGATGACAAGGAAGGAAGTGGGAGGGCAAGCCTCGAACCTGCTGAGCAGCAGCATCAGGAGGTCAATGACTCGAGAGCCAGCTGCTCAGGAGCACTGACTGGCACCAGGGCCACAAGAAAGATCCCGGAAGGTTGGGTTTAGACCAGTGGTCCTGGACTTTCTCCCAGCAGAATTGAAGAATTGCATTCCATCCCATTGAGGACCACTGCCTCCAAGAGGGAGAGCTGCCAGCCATGGATGGAAGCAGTGGAAATCGGGCTGAGACCAAGCAGTTCCCTATGCATCCCTCCCACCCTCACCTCCTGCAGATTCTCGTTGTTGTCAGCTTCCTCCACCCACTTCTGCAGCAGGGGCCGCAGCTTACACATGTTCTTGAAACTGAGCTGCAAAGCCTCAAAACGGCAGATGGTCGTTTGGCTGAACACCTTCCCTGGGGAGGTGGGTTGAAAGGAGCAAGGTGAGGCAGCAGGCAGGGCCCTTTCGACCCCAAGACCCAGGGCTTGCCACCTCTTCCTGCCCTCCCAAGATCCCACACAAGTACGGTATCTCTTTCCCCTCTACCCTCACCCCTAAAGAGGGTAGAAACACCCTTCTCTCACTCCCTTGGTGGGGAGGAAAGGCTGAAATTCAGGGACGTTCCTTCCAGGGGAGATGTGGTCCCTGTGTTCTGTGGGTCAGAACATGCTAGGTGAGACTCACCAAAGAGAACCCCCAGGGTGAGCCCCACATCGGCCTGGGTATATCCCAGGGTGATTCTCTTCTGCTTTAGGACCTTGGCAAATTGTTCGAGGTCTTTCTGAAGAGCTTTGATGTCCTGGGACTGCATTTTAAAAGGCAGAGGACATGTAAGAACATAAACATACCAGTTACCCACCCCACCCCACCTTCCATTTGGGCCCCAAGGAATAAATAGTCTATGGGAGTATCTCTGCTTCCAGGCTGCCCACCTAACAAGTAGAAATAAACTATATACAAATGTCATTTACCCCAGAAAGTGACACATCCATCAGATGCAGTACACCATTTGATAATGGAAAGAAAAGCCCAGGCCTCAACGAGAACATCTATCGGGTTATGAAGGGGGCTCCTGCCCTTTAGTCCTTTAACACTCACAAAAGCTTTTTGACTCTAGTATTACCTCAGTTTGAGGAAGTTTTGAGTGTAGAGATACAGAGCACCATGTCTCTGGTTCTCTTTCCAAATATACTCTCTCCAGCTTACTTTAAGGGTCCCACAAACTATGACAAAGCATGCACATTCACAAACACAAACACACTACAAACAGTCGTCATACGAGGTATGAATAACATGCTTTGTATATAGTTAGTGCTCAGTTTTAAAAAATCTGATTATCCCTTATTTTTAACTGTATCTTTTTGCAATATAAAAGCATCCTCATTGACTAATTCAACATATTTATTGAGCACCTTCTGCAAACCAGTGGCTACACAAAGTAGACCAAAAACCCTGGCCCCAGGGACTTCCCTGGTGGTCCAGCTGTTGAGACTCTACACTCCCAGTGCAGGGGGGGCCCGGGTTCCATTCCTGGTCAGGGAACTAGATCCCACATGCCACAACTAAAAGCCTGCATGCCGCAACTAAAAGACTCCACGTGGGCTTCCCTGGTGGCGCAGTGGTTGAGAGTCCGCCTGCTGACGCAGTGGACACGGGTTCGTGCCCCGGTCCCGGAAGATCCCACATGCCGCGGAGCGGCTGGGCCCGTGAGCCATGGCTGCTGAGCCTGTGTGTCCGGAGCCTGTGCTCTGCAACGGGAGAGGCTACAAGAAAAAGACTCCACGTGCCACAACTAAGACCTGGCGGCGCAGCCAAATGGTTAGATAAATTTTTTTTTAATTAAAAAAGAAAGAAAGAAACCTAGCCCCAAGGGGCTTTCATTGTGATGAAATAATTATTATCCAGTATGTTAGAAGTGCTATGGAAAAAAGTAAAGCGGAGTAGGGAATTATGGGGAAGGTGACAATTTTAAATAAGACAGAGGTGATGTTTGAGCAAAAGGAAGGAGCAAAGTGGAAAGGCCCTGAGGTGTGTGGGCCCTGGTAGTAGCAAAGCCAGCTGCAAGGCCAGCAGCAAAGCTAACATGGCCAGAGCAGGGTGAGAGGACTGAGGAAAGGGAAGAAGAGGAGCTGATGAGGTCACAGAGGTGAGCAGAGCAGATCCTGGAGCTGCTGCCATAACTTTGGTTTACTCAGAGAAATGGAAAGCCACTGAAGGGTTTTGTGCAGTAAAATGATCTGACTCTCACATTTTAAAATGTTCACTCCAGTTGATGTATTGACCATAGACTAAAGAGGCAACTGCAGTAATCCCAGCATAATGAT